CCACGAAACCAAATGAGAGGTTTCCCCACAAAGCATTCAGACTTCTTTCGCTGTTAGAGCAAAGTGTTCGATACTGGTAAAGATAATCAGCAGCTCCAGAGTAGTTCCCACATTCAAACTGGAACTTAGCATACTGATACAAAGAAAGCCTCAATCTGGTCTGGACCAATCTATTAAAAACAAATGTCAGATATGTTAAACCCTCAATTTCGCATAAGAAACCACAATTAGCGTTCATGGGCATGTTCACGAAACACATAAACTTGTATACATCTGAAAAAATACCTAAACTTTACGAAATAAGACAATCAGTCATGCAAGAAACTAAACCTGATATCGCTCTTTAAGCATATATGGAGATTGTTATCGCTCTTTAAGCATATATGGAGATTGTTTTTTTTGTCAGCTCTAAGCTCCTTCACTGCATTTTCGTTCAAAAGGAAAGACACGAGTGGAGCAGCTGCTTCCTCCAGAGATTTGAGCCTAGCCACAACTTCCAATCTCCTCTCCACCATATCTAACAAAAAAACAAAACCCACACTCTTCACAATTGAACAATCAAGCTAAAAAACGGAGACATTGCTACGGAGGAAAGTAAGCACCTTTAGGAGCATCTTCAGTGTTATAAAGACTCTTGTGAATATCCATAGCGTAATCGACCATGTTTGTCTGATTCAAAAGCTCGATCTTGAACTTAAGAATCTGTTCATCAGGACAACGCTTACGCGGCTCATAGGAAACACTAAGTGTCTATCCAGATTCGGCGCGACAAGAGGTGTAAGATCATAGTTCTCTTTACTCTGAGTCATTCTCGCAATCTCTCTCTCTCTCAACGAAGCTATTCAGTAGAAAAAAACCGTACTTTGATCTCTAAAAACGGCAGAGACAGAGTTTCGAAGAAGACGATGAAAATGCCAAAGGGTTTATTTTGCAGAAGCTTGGACTCGGAATGTGACGTTTTTTTATTTATATATTTAACCAACTATTTCATAAAAAATTGATTTTACCCCCAAACTTTTATATTTCAAATAGATCACACTGAGTAAACTGTTCAAAACGACCAGAGGCAATAACAACACACCACACCACACAGAGCAGTTTATTGAGAACACAAAACATTACAAGTCATATGGTTGCTTTATTGATACTACTAACATTTGGACAAAGCCATATATGGTTGCCAAGTAGCTGAAGTGAGTTTAGAGCTTAAGCTTGAGGGCTTGAGCATGGTGACTGATGTGGTCTTCGATGAAGGTGGCAATAAAGTAGTAGGAGTGGTCGTATCCTGGCTGCATACGCACTAAGAGCGGCGCGTTCGCTTTCTTGCATGCCTCCTCAAACTTGTTTGGCAATAACTGATCAGGATAGAACTCGTCGTTCTCTCCCTGCATTGAGTTTAAGTTTGAGGAATTTAGTGTTTTGGTTCACTGGGGAATGCAGAGACACTCCCTTTGTGTTCATTAGCTACAAGATTTTCCGGCAAAGTGAAGACGACGAAGAGATGTTGAAAAAGGGATTTTTACCTGATCAATTAGAATTGTGGCAGACAAATTGTTGAACTTGGAAATCAGGCAAGTGGCATCGTATTCCTGAGATTCGGAAAAGAAATCAGAGAATGAAATCATTATAGTATGGCGACTATATGGATACTGAAATCTTGTAGGGTGTATACCTCCCAAGCAGCCTTGTTGTCACCTAGATAATTGGTGAATGCTTTCTCTCCCCACGGGCAATTGACGGGATTGGCAATTGGTGCAAACGCAGACACAGACTGAAAGTGCCACACATGAAAAGATTTCAAAATATTGATCAAAGAGTAAGAGGTCCAACACTGGAACGTCACAAGGAAAGTCACATTGGTCTTAAAGCACAGAAGAACGAAAATACTGAAACTAATACCTTATACTTATCGAGGTTCTTCAAGTAAATAGTAAGAGCTCCATGGCCACCCATGGAATGTCCAGAGATAGATGCCCTTGTTGTGTCAAGCTGAGAAAAGTTTTCACTCAGGAGCTTTGGCAACTCTTTGACAACATAGTCATACATACGCCAGTTCTTCCACTTTTCCTGAGTAGCATTTAGGTAGAATCCAGCTCCTAGACGAAATCAAACAGCAAAGAAAGAAAATTTATCACCCTTCACAGCAAAAATGACCTCAATACCTTTAAAGACCAGACCAATACGTCCAAAGCTACAACTTGTTCAGAGAAAAAAAAAAAGTGCATAAAACGTTGCATACCTACACCGAGATCGTAATTGTCTGCTTCCCCTTCGATATTTAGTCCCCCTACAGTATCAAAACCATCACAAGAGTGTTAAAAGCAAAGACATTACAAACTTTTGGTTTGTTTAAACATCAAGATAAGATGATAAACAGGGTAAAACCAGGACAAATCAAAATACTGTGACTCACTTGGAGAAGTATCTGGAGCAACAAGAGCAATGCCGTGAGTAGAAGCAGCACGTTGAGCTCCGGATTTGATCATGAAGTTCTCGTCTGTGCAAGTGAGACCAGAAAGCCAGTAAAGCACCTGTCAATCAACAAAAACAGAGAATCATTTGTCTCAAAAAGCCAAATCAGTGGTTCGAATTGCATGATTTTGGCATCTCAACGAAATCAAGACGATAAAGAATCCAAAAGACAAACATAGAGTCATGAAATCAAACAGATTAGTGAAGACAAGAGGGTAAAACTGAGACAGGTCGAATCAACATAGTAGAAGAAAAAAAAAATCAAATTTTTATATGAATCGGAGAAACCCAAAACAATAAATTGAGATCAAACTAGTGAAGATGAAGGAAAGATTTACTTACAGGGAATTTACCGGAAGATGAGGAAGAAGGAGGGAAGTAGACAGAGAAAGTCATGGAACATCCTAGTGTCGGACTGTAATGTTTGTATCTTTTGTTGAAGCCATCGAACATCTTCGTGCTTCCGATCTCGCTTAGACCAGTCTCCATTTTTA